GTAAGAAGTCAGAACAAAACCTTTAATACACTATATGTATAAAAATAGCATTGCTAATCTTTCTAATAGTAGTTATTATTGTATACACTGTTGCCATGTAGAGGGTATGCAGTTTCATTTGGCAGAGGAATTTCGATACAACAGAATGAGCTGGAATGGAGAAAGCCTTGGGTTCAAACCCTATAAAATGAATGATCAATGATAAAAGGACATGGTCACTGAAACCAAACACTTCGCAATCTAGAGAGGATACACACTTGTAAGTGAGGAATTACACGTCAGTAGAATATTGGATACTACAAACAATGGAGAAGAATTATGGAATAGAGAAGCTGAAATCCTGGGGTGGTTGGGGAAGCATCAGAAGATGTTTACAGAATAATTAGTTCTTGGGTTGTAAAATGGAAGGGTGTGAAAAGTAAGAGAGAAGGCATTCTCAGCAGAGAACACCATAACCTAAAAAAGATGTGGAGACATGAAAGAAAATATTTCCTCAACTGTAGGTGGTTCAGGGTGACATAAGTATAAGGTTTTGGTGGATAAATGGTAAGAAATGGAGCATGACAAATAGGCCAAGTTCAGAAATATGGTGATGGGAAAATTAGAGAATCTTTTTTTTTTTTGAAGAGACCTGGAAGATCATTTCTTCCTTTTATTTTATTTATTTTTAAATGTTTATTTTTGAGAGAGCAAGTGAGAGAGCATGTGCACATGCATGTGCATGCACGTGGGGCAGAGAGAGGGAGACACAGAATACAAAGCAGGCTCCAGGCTCTAAGCTGTCAGCACCTATCTGATGTGGGGCTCGAATTCATGAACTGTGAGATCATGACCTGAGCCAAAGTCAGAGGCTTAACCGGCTGAGCAACCCAGGGGCCACAGAGAATCTTTAACAAGGTTATACATTATCATATTTGTTCATTAGAAAGACCACTCAGTATCAGTGTAGTGAATAGATTAAGCTGTAGCAAGTCTAATAGCAAAATGGAAATAATTCTTACAGGAATTTTGTGAATATTATTGATAAAAAGTACTTTGCACTCTAAAAATGACATATATCTTTAATTTTTGTGTACTTCATTTAAATGGTTCATTATAGAATTTAGTTACCAAATACAAATCTTTAAAGTATGTTATCACTTAGATTACAACGTGAAGTAGGTGTCACTTCTCTGTAGGTACTATTTTCCACTCTCCCTTAATATTACCCTTTCCTTTTCCCCATTAAATGCCTTTAAAAAACCAGTTTTCCCAAATGGGAGTGCTCTCATCATTCCCATCCCAACTCTCAACATATTGGGTAGCTTATGTTCTTGATACTTTTATTGGAATGTCCCATAAAAACATCTAAAGCAAGCTGTAAGGAAAATTCTGAGAGAATCCTGCTCAGGACATGCATTTATGCTTTGTGCTGTCCTCCAGAGATGGCTCCTGCCTTTGATATCAAGGATAGTTAATAATTTCAGGGCCAATAGGGAGAAGTTGAGGTCTATGCCCCTTTGTACACAGGCAGATGCTTCTCCATGGCCATACCAAAACCTGGTAGAAAAAGACTTCTGTGAACGGACTATTACCATTTCAGCAACCTCTAGAATGTGTTGGCAGAGGCAAACCATGCTGGTGGCAGGAGTGCAGGATGGGAGTGGTAGAGAGGGCAGAGCTTAGAGACTGGGCAGCTGCCCGATTTAAGAACTAGGACAAGGTGTTGAAAATACCCAAGGGTCAGCATTTGTGACAAGACAGCAGAGACAGAAAGTATGCTCTAGGGGGTACAGGCTAGAAGGACTCAGTTCTGGGTAGTGCTAGACTGAAATTGTGATTCCAGAAAAGGAGAGGGTTTTTCAGGGAATTTGGTCTAAGCAGGATGTAGGAATTGGAGCAGGTTCTCAGCTATTGCAAGTTGGCGGAAGCAGAGTCGAGTAGAACCCAGTCAGTTGGCGGGGAAGGAGTAGAACATCCCTGCTGCTGCAACACGCTGGTGGGCAAAGGAAGGACCTGGAGAGTCGGGACTGCCTTTAAGCTGCGGGCTCATGTGCAATGATGAGGCAACAACCCACTCTGTATAAAGGCCACAGAAAATATCAGAGGAATTGATGTTTATGTTAAGATGGGGACCATTATCCCCATTTCCACAGCTGAGAAAACTAGCATTTGAAGAGGGGAAGCAACGCACCATAGGTTATGATGCTTTCAGAGCTGCGCGAGGAGGGTATGCCTTTTCCTGAACAAAGCAGAGCTACAAACACAAAATTCAGGCAATACGTGTGTTCATGAGGATCTAAAACAGGCACCTCAGCCTTCACAGTCCACACACTCTACCTTGTGGCCCTGCCGAAGATTGGAGAGAGCAGAGTGTAAGTTAATGGCCGTACCTTTAATGGGGGCAGTAAAAAAGGTTCTTGTATTCATAGAAGCTCTTAAAATCCCCAAAGAGAAATGTGAGGTTATGCAGAGCTTTTCAAACCCATCAGATTCCAACTTGGTTTGAATACAATTGGACTTTCCAAAACAGCAGTTCCTCCTTTCCCCTCGGGCTCTGCAAAACCAGGACTTACATAGAGCTTGTCAGGCTTAGATGCTTCAGCCACGTCTGCCACCCTGAGGCCTCTCTTTAAAGGTCTTTTAGGACAGAAGCAACTTACTTATGTAAATCTTGTATCCAAGTTTTCCCCCAGTGACTTACTCAAGGACATCTAAACTGCTAAAAATTAAAGTGATAACATTTGTTATAAATCTGCAGCTCTATTAAAAAAGTTTACCAAAATAAGCCAGAGATTTTTATCTCACGTACATGGCAAAATTATCAATAGGCAGGCAACAAAAATGAACATGAATTTGGTTGTATTTTTTTGTCATTTGCTTGTTTTTCTATAAAGAACATGATATATGTCCATATAGTTAGAAGTTGATAACCTATGGTTTTATTATCGACATAAATTTAGTTGCTTCTGCCTCTAATTCCCAATATTTGATGTTTCTTTCCAGATATCCAGCCCAGATGATGGTTTTGAGAGTAAGTCTCTTTATGAAAGCTGGTTGGAAAAGGACCCTTCATCTGAAAATAAAGATTTTCCTAGGTGAATTACTTGTATATTTTCTACCGTTAGGATCAATTGTGAATTCCCCTTTGCCCGTTGTTTCTCCAGAAATGTAATTCTCAGCTGTGTCAACAATGTGAGTAGAAGAAAGATAATCCCAAAGAATCCCTGTGTAGCCTTCAATTTGCTAATGGGAGAGAATAGCCAAGTCTTTGAATCTATAATAAATTCTACTTTTTGCAAATGTTTAGCCAAAATTATTCTGCCACATTATCAGGTATTATTTTGCATTTTTGTATTAAATTTTAGATATGTATTCAATGCATTAATGTGACACCAAATGATAATGATGAAATATGGATTATTTGCTTCTAAGTTTAAGGGGCATTATAAGGCACTACCAAATTGTGTCTTTACATGTAATGAATATAGAATGTATTAATTTTTTACTTTTCATTCACACAAGTTTTCTTCAATTTTTTTTCTCCTGCAATACTATTTCTATAAACCAGCAGATGATGGGAACAGTTAATAGCTCCATTACATACTCCAAATAAGTCTTGTGAAAGTTTGTTTCCATTGTAAAAGTTTTACATGATTAAAAAAAAAAACAAACAAAAAACTAGAGTCAAAAAAAAAGGTTTTAAAATACCTACATCTCAAAAACACATTGGAAGTATGTATTTTCTAATACTCCTACAATTTTCTTCTTTGCTTACCATTTTATCATAAATTTTCCCATGTTCTTGCATATATATTACATATGTATGTATGTAGTGGTTTCTTAACTACATGCAAAAAAATATATTGTAATTTCATTTTCTAAATAAGGCATAGATTCTTCGTGATCCTAAATACACTTTATCATGGCAGTTTTCTTACTATAGTTCTCTGAGGGTAGTGACCAAATTTTATTTTTCTCTTTTTCCTCTCTATGTAAATATTCTAAAAGACTGACGGTGTGAGAGAGACCACAGTCACTAGGCTGCTGTCTTCGGTGGCACTGTTCAACTGTGACTGTAGTCAGTGCAGATTTACAGGTTTAACGCAGCTATTTCCGGCATGTGACAGGAAAGTAGCTTGGGGTGGTGTACCTTCTAATTTTTGTAAATGTGCTGTGCAATTCCTTGCTATTCCTGGGACAGGATTCATGTTTCTGTTTCTTTAACTTCATATTTTTTAACTTATGCATTTATAATATCCTTGTGTGTGTATATACACTTATATTCTACATCTAGAATCAACAAGCTGGGATCTGGAAGTGATTTTGAAGCTTACTTTCAGAGACTTGGGATTGCTTCAGGCAGAGCCCGTTACACTAAGAACAGGGTAAGCCATTTCATTATTTTGGATACATAGCATTTTATCCAACTTCTTGTTACGAATTTTAAACTGTTTAGTTGTTTGGTACCAGGGCACCAGGTCATGTGGCCTGGGAAGAATTCCAGGGCTGGAGGCTGACTTCATGTCTCTTTGTAGATGGACTAGGAATTAATTTGGGTTATTCAGTGAATTTTCCTTGCAGGATTATTCAATGAAATGGTAGCTGAGAGATTACTGCCAAGTGCTTCGCTGCTTAGCAGAACCAAGTAGTGCACATCCCTGTTCTCATTCAGGCTTTATTGGAAAATCCCGTTCTCCCCCACTTTTCCTGAGGAAAATGTGCATGTGAAGAACCTGTTTTAGTCACAGGGAATGCTAGGCCACGAGTCTTCACTGTCAGTAGCCCCTCTTCACACCCTCACTCCTGCCTGTCATTTGAGTCCAGGGCTCCTGAGTAGGGAATAAAACAAGTTCCTCCTGATTTTTAAAAGTCGACTAACTTTTCTGATCAGTTTGCACCATTGCCATTCAAACACACTGATGATATGTGAGTATTTGAATATGCCAACATGTGCCGTGTTTGCTTGTCTAGGTTATAAATTATGTGATAAACCAAACTGAAGATTACATCAGCAAACCCAGATTTGTCACAGATTTTAATAATTTTCAAATCATAATTGCAATACACAGTTTTGCTTGCCTAGAATACATACCTTTTGTAAATCTGATTCTCCAGAATCAGAACAGAGATGAAAGCAAAATAAATCTGTATCCTGATACTCATTAAACTCTTTCAAGGCCTGTTCACTTTTATATTCTGTCATCAATCTGAACACAGTTGTCTAGTTTCTAAGAAACTGCAGATTAAAAGCAGGACATTAGACAAGAGAGAGACTGACACCAGGATTCGCAGTAAAAATGTTAACCTTATAGCAAAGTAGCATATAGGTAAAACTAAACTTAGGAAAGGCAGACCTAAGGAGTAAAACAAATATTTATATAAAATACATCTATGTAATAGTTTACAATGGTAGCCCTTAACTGCATAATAAAGGTTAGATGGCATTTGGTTATACAGTTTGGGAAGGCAGAGAAAGTGCTTAAATGTAGATTCTATACAGATCTTAGCTGCCCAGAACCTTTCATTTCCAATCAATTGATAGATAATTGTAAACTGTGTTAATATGCAATTTGAGTATGTATGCCTTAATTTCAGTTATCAGAAATACAATAACAATTTTGAAGTATTTTGAATGAAGATTACGTGAATGATAAATAACAGTAAAATTTTAAATGGGTGAATAGTTGGTGAAACTGTTAGATTTTAACTTTTTGCTTCATGATAAAACTCAGAGTTCCACATGGTTGTATTTTTTTTTCTGCATTTTTAAGATTACATAAATATTATAATTGGAGTATTTAATGTTTGTCTATATTCAGTACCTACCCATATTTTGTTTCCCCAGAAAACAGATAAGTACAGCAGCTACCCGGTATACCATACAATTTATGAGACGTTTGAATTAGTAGAGAATTTTTATGACCCTACTTTTAAAAAACAGCTTTCAGTGGCTCAGTTACGAGGGGCACTGGTTTATGAGCTTGCAGACTCTATAATCATTCCTTTCAATATTGAAGACTATGCAAAAGCTTTGAAAAACTATGCAACAAGCATCTACAATGTATCTAAGAAACATGACCAACGATTGAGAGACCATGGAGTATCATTTGGTAAGAATGGCTGGGTATATTTTATAATCTGAGTTAGAGCTTTCAGATATCGTCTCCGACTGTCATCACTGCACACTCTTTCATCCTAGAATACATCCTTGCGTTACTTAATTTTGATTTCTAGGAAAAAACTTGAAACACCGTTAAAGAATGTCATTTAACCTGGTATTTGTAGGATGAATTTGTTTTGCTAAGTTAGTGCTATGAACATTGGGTTGGTTAATATTTTCCCTATATTGCTGCCTTTAGAAATATTTTTGCTGTTAAATGAACAATACTATAAAAATACAATACTGCACAAAGATGGGAAAATAGAGAAAACCAATTCCACTACATATATAATTATTGTATATTTTTGTTTACATGGAGATTTTTTTACCTGGTTTAAGCATTGTTTCATTTTGTGTATTTTATATTCATTTTATATTCACATTGCCATTTTGTGGTTACTGTTATGTACTATGCTATCTCCAACAAAGCAGGGATGAAATATAGTATGGTGCAAAGGACTGAGCATTGGGTCTAGAAGCAGTTACCTGGTTCAAATCCCGGTTCTAATATTTAGTCATTGTGTGATGTTGGAAAAGTTACATGACCTTTGTCAATTTTCCTCTGAGTGAAATGGTAAAGAATATAACGTTTCCAAGACTGCTGTGGGACATTCAGTTGGTTGGATATATAGACACGGTGGTGAGTCTTATAAACGTTACCTACTAGTACTGTTTTACTATAACCATTTTCTTTTAATCTGGGAGTAGATATTCTTAGTACATACCAAAATTATCAAGTATGTACTCAGTGTCTACTGTGTTATTTCCTGGGAGATACCAAATGTTTAAAAAATAATCATTGTCCTCAAAGAGCACAGGCTCTCACGTGAGGGAAAAGACAAAAATGCCAGGAACAAGCTGTTATAGGACGCTACAAAGAGTACTGTAGGGACACAGAGTAAGTAGACAGAAGTCAGCAATGGCTTTGGAATATTGCATACAAATTAGTAATCTTCAAGGTCATGAGCAGCAGGTACTATGATCTAGATAAAGTGATACAAAGAAAATCTAGAAAACTGTATTTACATACAATTGGATTGGCGAGTCTCTTTAACGAGGCAAAAGAAATCGGAAAAAGCAGAGCTGGCAGCGAGATAGACATTCACAGTTCTGTGGCTCGCCAGCATCCTCTTCTTTTCCTAGATGCCCCGATTTTCTTTTGGTGAATTACCTTTTATCACTTTAAGTCAGGATCCAACCGAGAGAGAAAGCACACAGTTACAGGGGAAGGCCACTCTTCACACAAAGTGACTTAACCTACTCTATTAATGCCCCTTTCCCCCCATATTTTCACCCTCTCCACCTCAGTGGCAATATTCCATCCACGTTAAACCATTTTGTAACTTTCTTATAAACATTTCTTCTACCTAATGTACCCTACTCCCTTCCCAATCAAAATTCTTCATTTAGTGCCAGGCAAAAAGCAGTCCCTAACATGTTTTAATGAATGAATGATGGATAGGATGGATATGTAATTTACATGGTCTCCAGTTCTCTACTTCCTTCTACCAATCTAGTACTGTCCTATCTTCCTAACACTCTACTGAAATTGCTTTTGCCAAAGTTATTCACTGGTTACTAAATACCAGGCACATGTTTTATTTCTTATCCAATTTGACTATTGTGATTCATTGGAAATTTAAAATTCTTTCCTCAACACTCTTTGGCTTCAAAAATATCTATTATTAGATTATTTTGTACTTGGCTTTAAGAATAGCAACAATAATTAGAGCTTAAAGGATATCTAGGGCTAAAAAAGACCTTGTCTTTTATATTGAAAGTAACTATTTACTAGCTGTGTGACCTAACAGAAATCCTGTGGAGCAGTAAGTGCTTTCTCTGCCAAATGAATATTGTATTCCCTGTATCACAGGATTAATGAAGGAAATCAATGATTTATGCTAATGTTCAGTTTAGAAAAGATGGAAAATGATACAGGTTGTTGTAATAAAAAAATATGTTGAGAATCTTCTCACTTCTTAGAATCTATGTTAACTAAAGAAAAACTTGACTAGACCAGACCTGATCCTGTTTGAGTCCACATACACCAGCTTGTCACAGGTTGCATTTAAACAAGATCTTAAATGCACTGCTTAAAAAGAGGGGTTGGTTAACATTGATTTATTCTCTAATTATTGCAGGAACACAGCTCAATTTATAGCTGTAGCCAGTATCTAGCATATAGAAGTTGTATTAATATATATTGAATGATTATCTACATGAATGGTAAATTAGGAGTTAAAATAATTATGTCCTAGACTCTTGAAAGTTCCTTTATGAAGAACCAATTTAGAAATGTTGTTTTATCCATTATCTCTTTGTTACAATATCTTCATGGATGTACAAGAAGGCTCAGTAGAAAAACAGTTTTAATATCTATTCAGTCCTGTCATCCTGGAATGTGGAGGGCAGGGAAGTGAACATCTGAAATAAGAAGCATTTACTAATATACCTTCCATTTTTCTATTTTTAAAAGATTCTTTATTTTCTGCTGTGAAAAACTTCTCAGATGCTGCTTCAGATTTTCATAGAAGACTCACAGAAGTTGATCTTAACAAGTAAGTTTCAAATGTAAAGTTTCCTATTTTGAAAAGTAATCTAGTTACTAGAGTGAATCGTGTACACTTACCTAGGCAGGCAGCTCTAAGTCACTGCTACCCAAATTAAGGTCTGTAATTACAGCATCAGCATCACTTAGGAGCTTGTCATCAAACGTAGAATTCTGCACTTTAACAAACTCCCAGGATGGTCAGTATTCACACTGAAGTTTGAGAAGCAGTGCTCTATCTGGTAGACTGAAAACCCCTCCCAAGACAAGGGACAGCCTCATGCCTTCAGGAGGCTGCATAAGAATTTTGAGTGTAATTCATCGTTCCGTGGGTAAATGTATTTGTATATTTTACTAATGTCCCAATACTTCTATGACCAGTGTAGGAATTCTTTTACTGATAGAATTTTTGCCACTTTTAGATTGAAATATAATTTGAAAAGTTCTATTCAAAGCATTATTTAACAAGCATAAACTGTCCTATCACATTTACTTTTTCAGATCCAATTAGAGTAAGCTCTCCCACTACCCATATAGGCAGAAAGATTATCCTTCATTCTGAGGGGCTTCTCTCTCCTTTGGATTGTAGGAAAGCCCAGAGAATTTGTGTAGCACCCCAGGAAGAGTTGGCAGATGCCAAGTGTTAAAGGGGATTCCCAGCCCATGATGGGCAACTTCCTGCAGACTGGCACCCTTCCTGCAGACCGCTCCGACCTTCCTTCATTTGTTGTTGTTCAGCCTTTATTCTGCAACTTTCTTCCACAGTGGAACTGAATGGCTTATCAACAACTGACAGTACACCCAGTCGGCCTTTGCAGGAGGCCTGGCTGTCCTCCTAGAGAGAAGTAAAACTTTTAGTTCTTTCTGTGGTCTTGAAAAACAAAACAAGCCATCTCCAGTAGGTCTCTCTTACTCTGAATATTAGGAAGATGACCCTCTTGTTATATGTAGCTTACATATAAAGCATTACTGTTAATATGTATTTTCTTAAAAACCTACGTATTTTAGAAGTTTATTTTTCCATGCCTTATGCTATATTATTTTAAACTATAGTTCCATGAAAGAGTTACAGTTACCTATTTCTTATTTTCAAAGTCCTATTGCAGTGAGAATCATGAATGACCAGTTGATGCTCCTGGAGAGAGCATTCATCGATCCTCTTGGTTTACCAGGGAGGCGGTTCTATAGGTAAGGAAGCAACATGTGTTCCACTAAAGGATATTAAATACTCCAGTGTGACCAAAACCAGCATATCCAAAGTCTGCTTTAAACTGTTGCCATCAGATGAACGGAAGGTGAATATGTATGCTGAGAAGAATACGGGTAAGATTATGCATTTAGAACAGTGTAACTTGTAGTATCAGAAAAATTAATTTCATGTTGTTTACTGCTTTGCTACAGATGTAAATGACAGTTGAAAAATAACCTGTAAATATAAAGGCTATTAGTATCTTAGAGCGTGTGTAGTTCAAATTTCTACATTAATTTCTTCTATAGGATCTGAGGTAAGTAGCTTGTCTAGCCTCTGAATCTTCCAATTGTAGGAAGCTTACCACCTCATGAAGAAGTCCATCCCATTTTAAGAGAGGTCTACTTTAATAGAATTTTTTCTTTATAAGACCTTTTTCCCTGTAATTTTCTCCTTCTAATCCTATCTACTCTCCAAAATCAAATAGAATAAATCTAGATCTATTTCCATGTAACATTTTAGGTTTTTAAAGATGGCTGCCATGTTCTGAAGAAATATCCTTTTTGTTTCTGTATTTCTACGTCAAGTTTTCTTTCAGTATCTTGGCTGTGTGCTTGGGCAGACTCCAGTTTCTTAAGATACCTCTTAAACTGTGGTTCCTTGGTGAAAATTTACGAGGCTGTTTATCATCAGATAACCTATGCCAGAGATAGTTCTATATGTTAGCTTTCTTATAAATATTAGTGACTAGTATTAATATTTAATTAGAAGCACAGGCTTTTTTAGAGCCCTGCTCTGGCTCATACTAAGTAACCTGGGCAAAATACTTCTCTAAAGCTCATTTTCCTTAGCTGTTTAAGGAGATAACTGCTTTCACCCCACAGGTTTATATATTTCAGGCATGTGGAAGATTGAGCTCAGAGAGGGATATATTCAGTAAATGGCTGCTATTTTCAGAAAATAATTCATATAAATAATAGCAGCCATCATTTAAGTATTTACATGTCAAATTAAAAGCGAAAAGCAAAGCTACATGTTAATCCTCTCCTGCCTGTATTTGTATTTTATAAGCAAAATGTCTCTATTTTGTCAAAATGAATGCAGCCTTGTAGAATAAAAAGGGACAGTGATCCTTCAGCATTCTCTTCTGTAACCCATACCCAGCCATTTGCTAGTCTCTAAAGAAAATGTTTTATATACACGTGTGTATATGTATGTGTGTGTATACATATATATATTCATCCAACTATATTTATATAAATGGGCCTACACATTATTTTTCAGCTTGTTCTTTCTTCGTAACAATTTATCTCCAAGATCCTCCTATGTCGGTATATATCCGGCGTACAGTGTTCCACTGTATGGCTTATATGTGTAATTTTTAAAGTCCTTGTTGAGTTTTTATTTACTATTGGGATAAATACTGTAGGATGCCCCCGTGTCCTATTTGAACATGTCCTAATATCTAATGAGTATGTGGATTTAACACATTTTAAATTTCAGTAACTGCCACACTGTCTTCTAAAAAGACTGCACTATATTTTGAAAATATGTTTAGAACTATTACCTGAATATTAAGACTATATTCTAAAGCCCAGGCAGTACAAGAGCAATGCAGGAAGACCCTGAATTCGCCCCCTCCCAAGGACACACTTAAGCTACAACTCTGTGTGAACCACATTTCCTCCGAAGGAGACCTGAAGACTAGCTGAGCAACCCCTTCATTATCAAACAAGAAAAAGGCCTGACTGAAGATGGTAGGAGAGTCTGAGAACTAATTCTGCCATAAACCTGGCCCAAGGCACACAACCCACAATTGGGAGGGAATTTATAAACCCAGAACCTCTCCTTGGGGAATGAAGGGCTCATACTTCAAATAGGACTCACCAGCTTTTCAGACGTATGCCTGAGATGAGCCTCCAAAACATCTGGCTATGGAAACTAATGGTGTGCTCACATTCAAGAGACCCAAAGGGCTTTGGAGAACTGAGGCACGGCTCTTTAAGGGCTTAAATGGACTCACTTGCCACAGGATCCAGTGCACAAGCAGCACTTTGAAAAGCAGACTTCACGTGAAACATTCACTTGCTAGCTTTAATGCATCATGTGGAGGCACATGCTGGACTGTTCTCTGGGATGGAGGCTGGTGGGTGCCATCTTCGCATTCTTCCTCCTGAGCTCCAAAGTGCCAGTATCTCCTGGAAGGGAGCCTTTACACTTACATTTTAAAGCTGCTGCCCAGGGATGCCCTTTGACTGGCTCTGGAGCCAGAGGGTCTTATATTCCTGGGTCCCATGGGACTGGGACAACTGGGAGATGGTTCTTGGCTAACTACCACCTACAGCGTACTGCACAGATAGTGGACTGAAACAGGACTTTTTGTCCAGGAGCTCTGGCCTCAGGAGAAACCTTCTGGTCTGGCCTGTATCTACGAGTCTGTGGCTGAGAAGCCTCTTTGCACTCTCCCCCTGCTTTCCCCAGCTTGATGGCATATCCCCAAATGGAGTTTGCACCTTTGTCCAGCACCCCAGTTTTTGCAGCTGCTGCAGGGGACACCTGTACATTGTATGGCTCTGGTGGCCAACAGGGCAAGGCTGATGGGTCCCACAGGACAGTAATCAATGGAGAAGCAGCTACCCCCAGGGCACAGCCAAGAGACAGCAGATCCAAGAGCTCAGTCTTCCAGTGAAAGAGGTCTTAGTTTTGTTATCAGAGGCCTCAGAGGGCAGGTGCTCTGTGCTCTCACTCTGCCTGTTCCAGAGCACCAACACCTCTGGGAGGGGAGTTCTCACACCCTGGTGTTTGTGGCTCGCTCGGTGGGGGTGGGGAGCCTCCTGAAACAGATGCCACTGCACAGTGGACTGAAACTCACATCCTCTTTTTGTAGAAGAAGCATATTTATCCTGAAGCTTCAGCCTAAGAGCAGGCTTCAGATTTGGCACTCATCTAGAGGCCTATGGAGATACTCTCAGGCAATGTGGATGAGGGCAGTGCCATCTTTGTGCTCATAACTACAGCTTGCTGGTATATTCCAGAAAACAGCTTATGTCTGCAGTCTCACAGAAAGTTTGGAAACCAGACCCTCAGGCAGCAGCTTTCAATCATCCTGAATTTAGGTGGCAAGAGATTCCCCTTTGGTACACTGACAGGTCTTGGCACACCCTCAGCTACCAGGAGCTCTTAAAAATAGTCTGCTTGGACAACCACAAGTTTGAGAAACAAATGATAGGGCAAGGTTGAATGAAAAGGTTTATTTTCAACATTGGGAGAGGTGGCTGTTCCATCTAAAGCACAGAGACCAACAAAGAGGAAAAAAAAAACAACGGGAATTTGTTCCAAATGAAAGAATTACAATGAAACCTTGGAAAAATACCTCAGTGAAATGGAGATAAATATTCTACTTGATAAAGAGCTCAAACTATGGCCATGAATATGCTCACCAAAATTGGAAGAATGGATGAACACAGAAGTTGGAAAAAAAAAAAAAAAGTACCAAATAGAAATCACAAAGCTAAAGGATACAATAACAGAACTGAAAAATTAGAGGGGTTTTCCAGCAGACAAGATGAAGCAGAAGAAAGGATCACTGATCTTAAACACAGGGTATTAGAATTCACCCATAGCGCGAGGGGGGAGGGGGGGAAGCTTAAAAGACTTAGAGGAAACATCAACTAACATTCACATGACAGGGATCCCAGAAGAGACAGAAAGGGGCTGAAAACCTAGAAAAGGAACCCAACATCCAGAAACAGGAAGCCCAGAGAGAATTCCAAATAAAATGAACCAAAAGAGACCCACAGCAAAACACTAATTGTCAAAAGTTAAAGACCAGGATAAAAGCAGCCAAGAGAGGAACTTCTTATATACAAAAGAACCCTCATACAATAATTAGCAGATTTTACAGCAGGACTTTGCAGGCCAGAAAGGAGTGGCATGAGAGAGTGCAAGTGCTGAAAGAAAAAGACTTCCAATCAAGAAAGAATATACACTCTTGCAAAGTTATCTTTCAGAACTAAAGGAGAAAGAGTATTCCAGAACAACAAAAGCTAAAGGAATCTGTCACCATTAACTGGCCTCCTAAGAAATGCTAAAGGGAGCTCTTTAAGTTGGAAAGGTGTGGATTAGTAACAAAAAAACAGGAAGAGTGAACATTTTACTGGTAAAGATACACATTAGAGTAAAAGTAATGGTATGAAGGTTAAGACAAAAGTAGTAAAAATAACTATAATAACTAAGGGATACACACAAGTAAGAGGAAGTAAAACCTAAACCATGGTGGTAGGATGGGTAAGAGTAAAAAGGCAGAGCTTTAGAATGCCTGCAAAGTAAAACTGTCATATTCATGAAAGTCTACTTTAAATTGGTAGTTTGTTCTACGTAAGGCTCATAGTAACCACAAACCAAACAGCTACATAGGCATACCTCTGATCTACTGCAGGTTAGGTTACAGAGATCTGCAATAAAGCAACTTAAATGAAGTTTCTGGTTTCCTAGTACATACAAAAGTTATGTTTATACTGTATTATAGTCTATTAGGTGTGTGAAGCACTTCTAAAAACAAAGTACATACCTTAATTAAAAAATACTGTATTTCTAAAAATGCTAGCCATCAGCTCAGCTTTCAGCTAGTTGTAATCTTTTCCGCTGGTGGAAGGTCTTGCCTCCAAGTTGATGGCAGCTGGCTGATCAGGGTTGTGGCTGCTGAAGTTTGCTCTGGTTGTGGCTAAGTCTTCCATTCAGGTTTCTCTGTTGTGATGCTGTTCGACAGTTCTATTTCAATAGTCAATTCTCTCAAAGCCTGCCGCTGCTTTTTAACTAAGTTTATGTAATATTCTAAACCCTTTGTTGCCACTGCTGAATCTTCACAGCATCTTTACCAAGAGAAGATTCCATCTAAAATTAACGACTTTCTTTGCTCATCTATAAGCAGCAACTCTTCACCGATTAAAGTTTTATTTTAAGATTGCAGCAGTTAAAATATAATGATTATGAAAATTAAGGCCAGTATCTGATGAGCAGAGAAGCAAAAATCTTCCATAAAACAGTAAATGGAATTCAACAATATACTAAAAGGATCATTCACCATGATCAAGTCAGATTTTAGAGATACAAGTGTGGTTCAGTATCCACAAATCAATCAATATGATAGACCACCATTAACAAAATAAATGATAAAAATCACACAGAAAAAACATTCGACAAAATACATCTGTTCATGATAAAAATTACCAGTGAAGTGGGTTTAGAGGGAACATGCCTCAATGTAATCAAGGCCATTTCAGATATACCCACACCTACCCTATTATTCCATGGGGAAAAGTTGAAAGCTTTTCTTCTGAGATTAGGAATAAGACAAGGATGCCCACTCATGCTATTTTTATTCACCATATATCGGTAGTCCTAGCTGCAGCAGTCAGGAAAAAGAAATCAAAGGCATCCAAACTGATAATAAGTAAAACTGTCACTATTGTAGATGACATGACACTACATACAGAAAACCTAAAAACACCAAAAAATTAGAACTAATGAATTCAGTAAAGTTGCAGGGTACCAAACAAATGCACAGAAATCTATTCTGTTTTTATATACTACGAAACAAAGCAGAAAGAGAAATTAAGAAAACTCATTTACAATTGCATCAAAAAGAATAAAATATCTATGAAGAAATTTAACCAAGGAGGTGAAAGACCTGTACTCTGAAGAGTACAAGGGAGCACAAAACAAGCAAACACAATCCGTATCAAAATATCAATAGCATTTTTCACAAAATTAGAATAAATTATCCTAAAATTTGCATTGAAACAAAATGCACCCTAAATAACCAAAGCAACCTTGTGAAACAAGAACAGAGCTGGAGGTATCACAATCCCAGATTTTAATATATACTACAAAGCTATAGTGATGATACAGGAAGAAAAATGGACATATAAATCAACAGAAGAGAGAGCCCCATGCTTATGTGATTAATAATGTACAAAAAAGGCAAGACTGTGCAATAAAGACAGTCTCTTCAATAAATGGTGCTGGGAAAAATGGACAGCTACATACAAATGAAATGGAACTACTTTCTTATCACAAAAATAAACTCAAAATGGGTTAAATACCTAAGTAAATGTGAGAGCTAAAACCATTAGACTCAAAAAACAAAAAAAACAAAAAACAAAACCCCCAAAACAATAAACAGGGAGAATAGCACACTAAAAAGCTTTTGCACAGCAGAGGAAACCATCAATAAAACAACAAGGAAATCTAAAATGGGAAGGGATATCTAAAATAAAGAACTGCTACCACTCAACAAAAAAAGTGATTAAAAAAGGGCAGAGAACCTGAATATGTATTTTTCCAAAGAGAAAAAGACATGAAAAACAATGGTCCCCACCACTAATCATTAGGGAAATGCAAATCAAAACTAAAATGAGGTTTTCACCTCACAATGTCAGAATGCCCAGTATCAAAAAGACAAGGGTTGGCAAGGATGTGGAGAAAAAGGAACTCTCATACATTAGTGGGGATGTAAACTGGTGCATCCACTACAGAACAGTATGAACATTCCTTAAAAAACTTAAGATAGAAATACTACACGACCCAGTAATTCTATTACCGGGTATTTACCCCCCAAAAAAACAAAAACGCAAATTCAACTAAATATATGCCTCATTATTTAATACAGTGTTATTTACAATAGCCAACATAGGGATGCAACCTAAGTGTCCACTAACAGATGAAGAGAGAAAGATGTATACACGCACATACACACACACACACAATGCAACAGTAACCATAAAAAAGAACGAAATCTTGCCATTTGCAACATGGATATACCTAGAGAGTATTAAGCTAAGTGAAGTAAGTCCGAGAAAAACAAATCCCATATGATTTCACTTCAAAACAAATGAACCAAGAAAAAAATTGGTGGTTGCTAGAAAGGACGGGGGGGGGGGGGGAGTATGGACAAAATAGGGGATTAAGTGGTACAGACTTGAAGTTATAAATAAGCCATGAAGACCAAAAGTCCACCACAGGGAAACAGTCAATTATATTGTAGTAACTTTGGTGGCAGATGGTACCTACACTTATTGCAGTGAGCATTCCTAATGTATGTAACTGTCAAATTACTATTATACACCCCAAATAACACTGTATTGTCAAGTGTGTTCCAATAAAGAATATAATAAAGTCTGAAATATTATAAAAATAACCAAATTGTGACACAGAGACAAAAAGTGAAAAAATATAGTTGGAAAAATGGTGCCAAAAGACTTGCTTGATGGAAGGTTGCCACAAACATTCAATTAAAAAAAAAAAAAAAAACAACGAAAAATGTACTGTCAGGCACAATAAAATGAGGTAAGCCTGTAGTAGATACAAGAAAGATAAAAGAAAATCTAAGCATACCTACCATCAAATCACAAAGGGTGAGAGCAAAATAAGCAACAAGCAAGAACTACAAACAGCAAGAAAACAATTAACAAAACAGCAATATGTACATACCTATTATTTTTAACGTAAATGGAATAAATGTGCAATGGAGAGACAGGGTAGTTGAATGAATAAAAAAACAAGACCTATCTATATGATGTCTAGAAGAGACTCACTTCATTTTTTTTTTTTTTCTGAGAGCGAGTGAGCGCAAGCGGGGGGGAGGGCAGAAAGAAGGGGAAACAATCCCAAGGAGGCTCTGCACCACCAGCTCAGAGCCCAATGTGGGGCTCGAACTCACGAACTGTGAGATCATGCCTGAGCCAAAGTCAAGAGCTGGATGCTTGACCAGACGAGCCACCTAGGCGCCCAGAAGAGACTCACTTCAGAGGTCAAGACCCACACGGACGAAAACTGAAGGCATGGAGAGAAAGACATCTAATGCATAATGGAAACCAAAAGAAAGGAGGAATACCTATCCTAGTATCAGACAAAATACTTTAAAACGAAGACTGTAATAAGAGACAAAGAAGGAAATTACATAGTAATAAAAGGGTCAAACAAGAGGATATAACATTTGTAAATATATCTGCACCCAACCATATAAATTAGGTATTAACACACATCAAAAGAGACAGGAATACAAGAGGAGGAGACTTTAACGCCACACATCAATGGCTAGCTTCTAGACAAAAAAAAATCACTAAGGAAACATTACCCTTAAACGTAACATTAGGCCATATGAAATTAAAAGATATATACAGAATGTTCCATCCAAAAGCAAACCACACATTCTTGCAAGAGCATGTGCAATGTTTTCCAGGATTGGTCATATGTCAAAAAATAAGTCTTGACAGACTTAGGAACTATTAAGCATCTGTTTTGACCACAGTGATATGAAACTAGTAATCAACTACAAGAAAAGTGGAATATTCCCAAAAAGTGGAAATTAAACAATGTTCTACCAACTATAGGGCAGGTCATGAAATCAAAAGATAAGAAAATACCTTGGGAAAAATGAAGAGGGAAATACAGATGGCAAAATTTATGGGATATAGCAAATGCAGTTCTAAGATTGAAGTTCACCAGCAATAAACACCTACCCCAAGAAAAAAGTAAAATTCTCAAGCAACCTAACATCCCACCTCAGTGAAGAAGAATGATAAATGAAGCCAAGTTAGTAGAAGGAAGGAAATAAAGAGGAAATCAAGGAAATAGAAATTAAAAGGTCAAAAGAAAATTTAATGAAATGAAGAGCTGATTCTTTGAAAGAAAATTTATAAACCATTCACTGGATTCACCAAGAAGAGAAAGGGTTTGGACACATAAAAGAGATGTTACAACTAATACCACAGAAATACAAACATACAAGACTATCAACACTATTATGCCAACAAACAACCACCTGGAACATATGGACAAACTCCTAGAAACATACAGCCTTTCAGAACTGAAGCATGAAGAAATGTATATGTAAAAAGAAAGGGAGGATACTGAATCAGTAATCCTCAATCTCGCAACAAACCAAAGTCCAGGACCAAACGGCTTCACTGGTAACTTCTCCAAACATTGAAAGAAGAATCAGTACCACTGGTTTTCAAATTCTTTCAAAAAACTGAAGAGGGAACACTTCCAAACTCTTTTTAAAAGGCAAGCATTACCCTGATATGAAAATCAAATAAGAATGCCACAAGAAAATTACCAGCCAATATGATGAGCAGAGAAGCAAAAATCCTTCACAAAATATTAGCAAACCAAATTCAACAATATATTAAAACAAGATCACGTACCACAATCAAATGGGATTTATCCGAGGGATATAAAGATAGGTTCAATATCCACAGATCAATGTCATGCCATATTAACAAAATGAAGGATAAAGTCTTACATAGAGGCAGAGAAGGCACTTGACAAAAATTCAACATGCATTTTTATTAAAACTCATCAAAGTCATGTAAAAAAATGTAACTTAACATAATAAAGGCCACATATGACAAACCTCCAGCTAATATCATACTTAAGGGTGAAAAGCTGAAAGCTTTTCCTCAAAGATCAGGAACAATATAAGAATGCTTACCTAGTCTTGCCACTTTTTTCCAACATAGTATTGGTAGTCCTACTGAGAGCAATTAGGCAAGAAAAAGGCATCCATACTGGAAAGAAATAAAACCATTACTTATTTGTAGATGACATTATATATAGATAAACCTAAGGAATCCACTAAAAACCTGTTAGGATGAATAAATTCATCGTATGGTGAAGACACAAAATATACAGAAATCTATTATATTTCTATACACTAATAATGGCCTATCAGAAAGAGAGATTAAGCAAACAATCCCATTTCCAACTGCATCAAAAAGAATAGAATACCTAACAATTTAGCCAAGGTGAAAGGCCACAGGGGTATTAGATGTCAGGTCAATGATTCGAACCAGGTTTATACAATTCTTAGTATCTATCTGTATTTTCCTATACTCTGCTTTTACAGTTTTCCAATAGAGGGCAAGTATACTTATGAATAGCTATAAACTTCATGTAGAATATCTCAAGTCATATATGGGTCAGAATATCAATGTTTATAAGCAGTTCAGTATGTAACACTGGCTCTAAGAAAGATCCATCTGAGGCCATGTTAAGATTTAAAAGCCAAGAGAAATAAATCCTGATGTAGTTTGGATAATCTAAATGATTTACATTATAAATTTCTATTTGATCGTTAATATTAACTTACATAGAGTTTCATATTGTCTCAGACAGATTTACATCTTAAAGAAGCTGTAGGATTTTGACCTAATTCCTTATCATGGTATTCAATAAAATATGTCCTTTTCTGGAAAGCAGCATTCCAGAGGAAGAGAAGTAGCTTGATCTCTTCAGCTAGTTATAAGACAAAATAAAAAATAAAATGCAAAACTTTCCTTCTAGATTACAAATTAAATGTGTCTGTAGGCAATTCACATGGACTTCATTCATCATCCTTACATTTATGATATATTGGCAATACACGCTTTTTTAATTATTGATTTTTAATGTCTAAAGAGTATCGGAACAAGTGTCATTCTTGTTGAATCTCTGAAAAAGGCAACGCACAGATAAATTATTTTTTCAATCTCTTCTCACTCTCAGTAAATATATCCATAAAGCATACTTGTTTTCACTGTTCGGGTGTCTTGGCAGTCAGACAACTGAGGTACACAACTTATGAGAATGAACCCATTTTCTTCCAATTGGTATGGGTAGCAACATGATTTATGAGAGTAATCTTAGTGAATGCATATGGTCAACTTTATTTAAAATTATACTGTTACATAACTATCTTAAATTAATTATAGGTCTTCATTTTGGAGTAAAAAAGTGAATGCCAGGAGGAGACACAGTATTCTTAAGATGTCATCTAAGGAAAGGGAATGAAGACAGAAGTGTGTAAAATGTAACGTATGTACATATACTCTTTAGCTCAACCTGCTCTATGTTGTTGTTTTGGGTTTTTTTTTCTATTAGGCACATCATCTTTGCTCCCAGTAGCCACAACAAATACGCTGGAGAATCATTTCCTGGGATCTACGATGCTATGTTTGATATTGAAAATAAAGAAGACCCTCAATCAGCCTGGACAGAAGTAAAGAAACACATTTCTATTGCAGCCTTTACAATTCAAGCAGCAGCAGGAACCCTAAAAGAAGTGTTATAGGAAGGTCTCAGCCAAATGGCCATTAAAAGTGTTACTGAAAGTCTCAGGATAAAATCTTTCCTTGTATTTTGATTACTTATGAAGCCAGAGTATTCAATAATCTTGCTTTTCATGTCCTATTTTGATTTAGACTTCCTTTCTGTTCATCTGTAAAGAGTTTTTTGGCTTTTTAAAAATTCAAAACTTCATCACCAAATCGTTAATCTAATAAAACAAAAGAACTCCAGTCTTGGGGCAGAAAGACATAAAGTAACTGAAAATTCCCACAAATAACATATGACAAGGAACTTGGAGCTCTCAGACGTTGCTAGTAGAAATGTAAAATGGTACAACCATTTTGGAAAACAGTTTGTTAGCTTCTTACCAAGTTAAAAAATACAGTTAACCCTTGAACATGGGTCTGAACTGCACAAGTCCACTTATACATAATTTTTTTCTAATACAGCATTTTCTTTATGATTTTAAATTTTTCTTCTAGTTTTACTGTAATACAGCATATAATACATATATATATATAATATGGGTTAATCAACTGTTTATATTATTGGTAAGGCTTCTGCTCAACAGTAGGCTATCAGCTGTTAAATTTTTAGGGAGTAGAGTTATATGCATATTTTTGTCTGCCTGGTAGATTGGCACCAGTAACCCTCACACTGTTCAAGAGTCAACTGTAGTAACCCTTGCAAGTTATTGTTTCATAAGTTATGTTTTTATCATCTTTAATCAACAGCTGATAATTAGAACAAGTGATTATGTGCCAAAGCCATGTAATTAAGCAAGGATGTTACATATATAATGAGCTATTTTTTTTTAATTTTTTTTAATGTTGATTTTTGAGGCATAGAGAGTGCGCGAGTGAGCGCATGAGCAGGGGAGGGGCAGAAAGGGGGAGACACAGAATCTGAAGCAGGCTCATGGCTCTGAGCTGTAAGCAAGAGCCCAACGTGGGGCTTGAACCCACGAGCCATGAGATCATGACCTGAGCCAAAGTTGGACGCTCAACCGACTGAGCCACCCAGGCGCCCGTGAGCTATTTCTTAACGTTTTCCCTTACAAGTACTTTACCTATGTTTTATGTATGCCACTTGATAATGACAAAACAAAAATCTAGTGATGAAACAAAAAAAGGGGAGACTGAGGAAATCATCATGGAAATCCACTGTACAAAGGTAGAAACAGAGGGAAAAGGAAACACAGGAGATAAAAAAAATAACCAGAAGGCAAAAAAGAAGACAGCAGTAGTTAAGTAATTATAAATGGATTGAATTCACCAAAGGGCACAAAGTGGCTGGATGCAAAAAACACCTAACTATATAGCTGTCTAAAGGAAACTCATTTTAGTTCTAAAAACACAGACTCAAGGTGTAGGGACAGAGGAGGATATTCCATGCATGTAGATACCAAAAAAAAGTAGGCATCACCATATTTATGCCAGAAAAAATACACTTCAAGCCCAAAACATTAAGAGACAAAGAAGTCACTAATAATAAATACATCAAGAAGATAAAACAATTATACATCCAACATCAGAACATCACAATTAAATGGATTCAACAGTCATATACAGAACATTCCAACCAACAGCATAATCCACGTTTTTCTCAAGTGCATATGGACATTTGCCAAGGCAGATCACATGATAGGGCACAAAACAAATCTCGGCAAATTTAAGATTGAAATAATACCAACTATCTTTTCTGACCACAATAGTGTAAAATAGAAATCAGCAAGAGAAAGCTAGAAAAATCTACCAATACGTGGAAACTAAACATACTTCTAAATAATCCACGAGTCAAAAAAATGGAAATATGACACATCAAATCTTATGGGGTGCAGCAAAAGCAGTTGAGAGGAAAGTTTACAGTATAAATGCATATAGTAAGAAATTACAAAGATCTCAAACAGCCAGTTGTGAAAGTTACTCTAGGAAATGTAAAAAGAATAAAGTCTAGACATAGCAGAAGGAAATAAAAGCAGAAATAACATCTCTTTCAGAAAAAAGCATCAGTAAAACCTAAAAGCTGGTTCATCAAAAAGATAAAACTGACAAAACTTTAGCCAGACTTAGAAATGAAACCAATCTTGTGGTGCCTGGGGGACTCAGTCATTAAGCATCTGACTTCGGCTCAGGTCATGATCTCATGGTGTGTGAGTTTGAGATGCCCACGTTGGGCTCTGTGCTGACAGCTCAGAGCCTGGAGCCTGCTTCAGACTCTGTGTGTCTCTCTTTCTCTGCCCCTCCCGCATTCACACTTTGTCTCTCTCAAAAATAAACATTAAAAAAATTTTTTTTAAAAAGATCTTACAACTGATACTACAAAAATACACAGGATTGCAAGAGACCATTATCAACAACTATATGCCCCAAAACAGGTAAAAAGGATACATTTCTAGAAACAACCTATCAAGACAATGAAAAACCTAAAACATGAATAGACCAATAAGGAACAAGAGACTGAATAATTTAAAACATCACAGTACAAAAAATAACCGAAGACCAGATGGCTCCATTGGCAAATTCTAATCAACACTCCGAGAATTAACACCATCTTTCTCAAACTTCCCAAAACTTTAGGTATACAGAATATTTGCAAACTCATTTAAAAGGCCAGCATTATTCCGGCGCTAAAGCCAGAAAACAAAAAGCAGAGACCAATATTGCTGATGAACACAACTCTCAACCAAATATGAGCAAACCTAATTGAAGAACACAAAAAGCTTATACATCTTGACTAAATGGGATTTATCCCTGGGATGCAAAAATGGTTCAATACGTGTAAAACAATAAATGTCATATATCACATTAATAAAATGAAAGACACAAATCACGATCATCTATGCATTTAAAATGCAACATCCTTTCATGATAAAAACTTCAGCCACATTGGGTATAGAATGAACATACCTCAACATAAAGGCCATGTATGACCAACCCACAGCTAACACGATACTCAACTGAAAAAAACTGAAAGCTCTTGCTCATATCCAAATCAGGAAGAAGTGAAACTGTCCCATTTGTAGTTAATATGATTTTGTATATGCAACATCCTAAAGACAAAACAAAACAAAAAAAAAAACGAACTAATCAGGCATTTCAGTAAAGTTGCAGGACACAAAATGTACAGAAATAAGTTACATTCCTATACACTAAGGGTGAAACATCTGAAAAAATTATCCCATTCACTGCATCAAAAATAATCCTTAGAAGGGGCGCCTGGGTGGCGCAGTCGGTTAAGCGTCCGACTTCAGCCAGGTCACGATCTCGCGGTCCGTGAGTTCGAGCCCCGCGTCGGGCTCTGGGCTGATGGCTCAGAGCCTGGAGCCTGTTTCCGATTCTGTGTCTCCCTCTCTCTCTGCCCCTCCCCCGTTCATGCTCTGTCTCTCTCTATCCCAAAAATAAACGTTGAAAAAAAAATTGTTAAAAAAAAAATAATAATCCTTAGAAATAAATGTAATCAACGAAGTGAAAGAGTACAATGAAAACTGTAAGACTGCTCAAAGAAATTAAAGACAAATGGAAAGACATCCTGTGTTCATAAATCAAGAGTATTAAAATGTCCATACTGCACAAGGCCATCTGCAGATTCAATGCAATCCCTATCAAAATACCAATGGCATTATTCACACAAATAGAAAAAACAATCCTAAAGTTTGTACGGAACTGCAAAAGACCCCAGACAGCTAAAGCAATCTTGAGGAAAAAGAACTAAGCTGGAGGTATCTCCTGACTTCAAACTATACTACAAAGCTACAGTAATAAAAACAGCATGGTATTGACACAAAAACTGACAGAGACCAACAGAACAGTGAGCCCAGAATCAAACCCCCGCTTTAACAATCAATATTTGACAGGGAGAAAAGAGCATCCAATGGGGAAAGGACAGTCTCTTCAATACATGGCTGTTGGAAAAACTGAATAAACACTGAGCAATGAAATTAGGCTCCTATCTTATACTCCTCTCGGAAAATAACTGGGAATGGATCAAAGACTTCAACATAAGACTTGATACTATAAACCTAGAAAAAAAAATGGGAGACGAAGCTCTTTAACACTGGTCTTCATAATGTTTAGGATATGACCCCAAAAGCACAAACAAAAGCAAAACTCAACAAAAAATGAAAAATCAAGTTACAGAATGGGAGAAAATTTTTGCTAATCATCTAGCTCATGGAGTTAATATCCAAAAAATATAAAGAACTCCCTACAACTTGGAAACAAAAAACCCAAATCCAAAAAATGGCAGAACTAAACAGACGTTTTCTAGATATCTACATAGCCAAAAACACATGAAAAGATGCTCAACTTCACTAATCATCAGGAAAATACAAAATAAAACCAACATGAGAGATCTCATACCTATTCAAATGGCTACCATCAAAAAGATAAAAGTGTAGCAAGGATGTGGAGAAGAGGGAACCCTTGTGCACTATTGTTAGGAATGTAAACTGGTACAGCCTCTATGGATAATAGTGTGGAGTCTCCTTAAAATTTTTTAAAAAAGAGCTATCATAGGACCTAGTAATTCTACTTCTGGGTATTTATCCAAAGAAAATGAAAACACTAACTCAAAATGATATATGCACCCCTACATTCACTGCAGCGTTATTTGTAATAGCCAAGATATGGAAAGAACCTGTGTCCATCAACAGATGAATGGATAAAATGTGGTGTGTATATACACAATGGAGTAATAATTCACCCATGACAAAGACATCCTGCCATTTGTGACAACATGGATGGAGTTTGAGCACGTTATGCTAAGTGACAGAAGTGAGAGAAAGACAAATGCTGTATGATATCACTTGTATGTGGA